GGACACGAAGTAGCAAAGCTTGTTGAAGTTTCCTAGCTCTCGATCTTGTAATCGGTCCATGAGGCATAACAAAGGTAGCTTCTTGGTTCATATCAACTCTTCCTTTGTTCCCATCATGTGATCACAAAGAAAGAGACAATTTTTTTTACTTGAATATAAATTTTGCAATGTATAGTTTTGATTATTGGTAGTAGGTTGATCTACACCCTTGATTTAGCATCATTTCATTTTTTTTATTCATTTTTCTTCTCTATTTAATTATTAAGCTAAGTTGCCTGAATTCCATGTGACATGTTGTCGGTTTGAATAGTTGCAAATCTATGATAATTTAAATAATAGCTAAAAATTATTATTAATATAGCAAAAATGGAACATGTAAATCACAAATATGTAGATTTGTCAATGATTGATATGATTTCTGTTAATATATAAGTCTAGTGGTTATCGCAAAATGGGATTACTTACTCAAATTAATCTAAATTATAGTTGTAATCTTTTAAAATAGTTATTTTTAAAAAATTTTATATATATTTATAGATATTTTAGAAATGAAGCTATCCATCCAATTTTTTCTGTCTTCTCTCAAAGACCTAAACTTTATGTCAAGTTGGTCTGTTTTTGTTTTTTGTATCTCTATTTTTGTTATTTTGGTTTTTTGACTTTTTAGAAATGAAAGCCGTATAATTACTGCTTTTAATCTTTTTTGCTCTCAAGATCAAGAAATCATAATATTCTTGATTTCTATTTTAAAATTGAAGAAAGTGAAATTTTGTTTTGTAATATTTATTTTTATCTCTCAGACAATTATTATCAAATGATAATTTTATGTTTTCTAAGCCCATTCTTTGGTTTCTATAATGAAAGAGTCTAGCACCTAATTAAGCAATAATTGTAACCTAATTAAGCAATAATAAATTTCTTTATCAACAAATTCCACAACCTGAATATTTACAATTTCATCAACATTTCCATAAAATTAAACATTGATATTTTATCGACATTGAACTTTGCCCTTTATTTATCAAAATGGCATATTGAAATAAAACCTTATTAAAGCTTTAATTGCAACTTCCAAATCAAAGATGAGCATGATAAGAAGTATATGAAAATAGTAATACCTTCCCTTTGCATATAATTTGGTAAATACATGTATTCATAAACCAATGGCAATGGCAGTGGCAAATAAATAAGAATTCTATTTGTTTAAGAACTCTCAAGCTCTCATCTCATAGTTGCTATTTTCCTTTGTTTTTTTTTTTATCTCATGGTGGATGTAGTGTAGGTGGTACATCTTTAAGATTAAAAGATAACTTAAAACTTAAAATAAACAAATTTACTGTGCCTGAGAGAAGCCTCTGGGGTTTGACGAGAAACTCCGTTCACGAACCATATAATCCGAGTCGAGTCATATTCATGTTCTATGTACGCCCTGGAATCAGTTTCCCCAAGCTGGAATCTGTTCTCAAGTCATTGAGTATTATATTTGAAGGGCAACTCCTCACAATCCAGCTGCTGGGCAGTCACTGTTACTGGCAAAAAATGTGCAACACAAAACCTTAAATCCATTCTTATTGTGGAATCTAACAATAAAGGCAATACGTAGAGTAATTCAGAAGCCAGTTTCAACTTTTATGTTCTAGCTCTTACACAAAGAATAACATAAGATAAAACAAACAGCAGTTAAACAATTCGGTATCGTCTGCTGCTTCCTAGGTTCTATATGTTATGTTTGCAGAAATTGTAACAGGGTGCCCGTGGTTTAAAGGCGAAAACGTGCAGAGATGTCTCATCTCCTTGCCTGTTCTTCTGTCTTTCTCCTTTTGGAATGAATTTACTGTCTCTTATCCAGAAAGAAATATAGAAGTTAAAGTCATATAGATTGAACCTTTCATTTCCATCTAAACTACTTGAATTCTGCTCGGTGAAACTTCGGTTAGTGGGTGTTTTTCTTCAACGTTCCATATCCTGGGGCTGAAAATCCACGACTTTTTGCAGTTTTGGAATAGTTCTTTTCAAAATTGTGCTTGAATGTTTCTTTATGCGCATAATGTCATACATTTAGTTAAATCTTTTCTTTTTCACAAGGGGAGAAAAAAATGGAAGAAGAAGAAGAAAGATTCTAGTCAATAAGGATTCGAAATATGAAGATGACTTCGTTTTGAAAAGATGCTTGGGCGGGGAATCAACCATTGGCAGCTTCTCTGGAATCTTTGAGACTTCACAAAATAAAGAGATCTTGCAGTTTGAAGTTTGGGAGAATAAATCAATATCTTTGAAGGTTTTGGTATGGTCTAAAGAAATCAGTTTTTTTCCATTGTTCTTGTAGCAAAAAACTGCGGAATTCATTACTTCAATTTGGCAGCAAAAAACAACAATGTCATTATGTTGCTTTGTAGTGGTGGTTTGAAAAAAGGGCTAAAATATAATGAGTCAATATGGTCAAGAAGGGAATCCACAAACCTTCCATGGAAAAGCAAGTTTTATGAAGAGAAAGCCTTAAAAGATGATTAAACATTATGCCACTTCTTGATTCTCTCTCTAAAGAATTCATCAGTTATTCATCCTATAGTTTCAAATCTCACCAGGGGCAATAAAAGGTAATCCAAATGATTGCCTTAATGGCATTAACTTGTGTTAACTTAGCTTAATACTTTTGAGCTTTATACCACATGTAGCTGAAGGATATTATCCTTGGAGCATTTCTCCTAATATTTCCGGCCATATGAGCATTGAAAAGAAAAATGACCACGATCTTCCCCAACCCTTAAACATAGCACACAGAATGAGAGACTTAAAGCAGTCGTAGGGCATTTTCTTTAGAACTTATCTATTGAATTAAGGCCATCCAAATGAAGAATTCAAAAAAGAATGTTCGCCTTTTGAAATTTTAGTTCCCAGCGCCTTCAAGGAAAACGTTTGATTACTTTTACCAAATATTTAAGCAAGAAAGAAGTTGATTCGTTTTGGACACTCCCAATTTCAGATCTGCTTGCAGAAACCTGACAGTAACATTCAGTTCTTTGAGAAACAACTGTTTGAATAACACCGAATTGGGAAAGAAATACCCTCAAAAGCTTTTAAGTTCCAAGTTCTCACGACCACCACCTCTTGCATCTCACCTTACTGATGGCCAGTTTTCAATCCACTTCATGAGAAAAATTCCTTCCAAGTTTCTGCATCATTTAAATTTCTTCTAGAGTCAAAAGATCCACGTCTTCCTCTGATGGCAGTACATGTCTGCCTTCTGCGATCTTCCTAAAAACGGATGTTTTCCCATTACCCAGAGGCAAATTTATAGAAATTTTTTGCTGATTATAGATAAAATTCCAAAAGCATCTCCCATTTGTTGTTTTTTTTTTGTCCACAGTGAACCACTCTCCTTCCTTTACATACTTGCTGCTAATAACTTTATGCCAAAGACTGTTCCCTTCAAAGGGAACCTCTAGAAAATAGAGCTGTAATTTTTTCTCTTTTAAATCACCAAATCTCAAGCATCCTATATCCATGGGTTTGAGTAACAGCCTTCCAATTGACAAGATTGGCTCTTGTTATCACCAGCCCCTCCTTCCCGTTAGAAGTTTCTAAGAGCCTTTTGTAAGCCCATGGCTACTCTTCAAAGGAACTAGAACAGGGACAAAATAATAGGAAGTCAGACCATGAAGGACCAAATTGATAAGATATTAGCTCCATTGAAAATGAAACTTTTCTTCCATTTGTCTATTCTTGCATGAATCTTACCCAAAATGAACACCTCACTGGGTTAACAGGTTTCCTAAGTTATGGGCAAATTCCTGTCCCCAGCACAAAATTGTAAAAATCTGCTTCGGCTTTCACCACTTCTTGATCTATGCCAATGCTGTTGATAGTTGTCTTCTCACAGTTAAATTTATCCCTGAAGCACTTTTGAACAAGTTAACAAGTATAAAGACAATAACTAACCTTTCTTTCTCATCTTTGCTGAAAATCAAGTTATCATCCACAAACATGAGATAATTGATAGTGACTTTGAAACTTCACAACCAGAAACCCTTCAGCAAATCAAATGAGCTTGCTCTGAGCGGCCATATGTTGAGTACAATGTACATCATCCACTACGAGAAAGAGGAAAGGAGATAAGAGGCCTCCTTGCCTCAATCCCCCAGAGGCTTTGATTCTTCTTGATCTCCCATCGAGGAAAAAAAAAAAGAAAAGGAGGATTGGAGTGGAGATACAACCCTCGCTCCAACTTCTTCATTTCACCCCTAAACCTTTTGTTTCTAGGGCCTCATCCAGAAAAAAACTAATTAACTACGTCATAATCTTCTCAAAATCCCAACATTTCAATTGCAAAAAAGATGGCATCTAGGATTTGTCTCCTTTTCACTAACATTTGTCGATACTCTGAAATGGTTTGGTGAAGAACCTCACGAAGTCTCTCCATAAGCACTTTAGCACTGATTCTATAGACCCCATTAACAAGATTTATGGGTTGATAATCAGGCGTTGTTTTAGCACTGGATTATTTAGCATAAGTCAAATATATAATTTCTTGAGGATGCCATTCTGGAATAATTCATGGAATATCCCAAGAATATCACCTTTCGTGGTGTTCTGGGTGTTTTTTGAAAGAATTATCAGAAAAAAAACCATCTAGTTTTGGCGACCTAACGTTTCCCCGAGAATCAACGCACATCATCATAGTTTCAAGGAAGGCTAAATTTCAAACCCAAAGCTAATTCAAAGACTTTTAACTACATTTATCAAATCTTCTTCACAAAAGACAAAAACTAGGTAGTCAGGATTATTACTAGGATAGCAAGGGCATATTAGTAATTAGCCCAAGAAGTTGGTTATAAATAGAGCGTCTGGGTGTGGAAGGAGATGAATTCAGGTAATAGTTTAGTGGGTTTGAGGTTACGCAAGAATACTCAATAGAGAGAGGTTCTACGTACCTTGAATACTTGGGAGCTATTGTAGTTCTTTATCCTTTGGTTTGGATTGTTCCCTTTTTGTACTTTTTTCTCATTTTATTGCATTAATGAAATCGTGTCTTTTTCAAAAATATTTCAAGTATCATTTCAGTTCTCTGGTTTCTAGTAGAATCAAAGAGACTGACTTTCCCATACTTCTCTTCACCTCCCCAACAAAACTACCCAACAACACACTAAAAAACTCAAAGATTTTACGCTCGGTCTTCACCAACACTTTTTTCCGAAGGCAAGTCTCCACCAACACTTGATCTCTCTCACACTACCTTTCCAACACTCTGCAGGCATACCTGCCTCCACGCTGAAATTCTCTACCCTGCTCTCTCACAAACTCTCATGCAAACTCACTCTGAAAAAGAGCATAAGACCAAGCTATATAACCATTATGTTAATTAATAATTGGTTATACATTATTATAATTAATTTTTATCAGTTTCTTTTTTATTTTTTGAATGGTGTCTAACCTAACCTTTAACTTCTTTGGCATTAAATTTCTGGGAAATATTTGAAAGGATTTTAGTACCCAGGGATTTTTCTTCCCACCATTCAATAGTATATGAAACAACCCTAAATATTCATCTCCCACCTTAAGCCACTGGTGTCTAATCTTTGGGACCAAAAGATATCCTTTTTGGGCGTGATATTCAAAAGTTCCAACTAATGGACCTTGCATACTTCATAATGGTCGTTTGTGATTCCCAATATCAATGTCATTGATTTTTGGAGTCAACAAGGCTTTTTGATTGATGACATGTTTAAACACTTCCTTATTCCAAACCTTAAAAAGATCCTCGAAAGCTTTATGCCTGAGCACTGAAGCATATCAAAGCCATCCTTATGAATGAAGAGACTTCCACTGCCCATTCAGATCAGAGCTAGAAGAAGGGTGCTTCAATCACATGTCAACAAATACACATATTTTATTTTTAAAAAGCATGTCCTAATGTGTGTGTCCTGACTCCTATTTTAGAAATTTACATCATCGTATCTATCTTCTTGTACGTGTGTTGTGTCAATATTTTTCTCCCTGCCAATATTTTTCTCCCTGCTTTCTTACCTACAGAGCTCACTTTGTTCCTTCATTAATCACCATGGGACAACATTGCTAAGTTTACAACTATATATACTACAAGGAAATGCATTAAGAAGATGTATTAGGAATATGTTAACATTAAACTTGCATCTCAAGCTTGACAAAAGATTCTTTTTGATACCCATAAATTCTCTATCCCCTTGATGCTCAGAAGCTTGACTAGAACCTCCAACATGAGATACATATACCATATACTTGTTTCCAACATTATGAAGACAACCTCCAGGAACATGTTATCTTGTGACATAAAAAAGATGAAACATGTAAAAACTAAAAATATAATGTCTAGAAACTACCAATCCAGTTCATATGAAACCAAACCATGACAGTCCTCCATCAGACTAATGTCAGATTCTTGTAATTTACTTAGCCTTCATTTGCCTTTGCAGATAAGGGGTAAGTCTGCCATTCAAACTTTCAAAGCTAAGCACTGTCTCATAACTATTCTCGGCAGCCTAATATAACGGTTATCTACATGGGATGGGATGGATCATTCTCTTTTCTTGATAAGAAACCATGCTTTTTTTTTAATAAGAATAAGAAACCATGCTTTGATTGAGAAGAAAGGAAAACAATATACAAAGGGCATACAAGAAACAAGCCTTAGAAATCAACACCAAAAGAGATGTATTAAACTTAACCAGCTCCCAAATATCCTCCAAAGACCTATCTACCCTAAAAATTCTGCTATTCCTCTCAATCTAGATACCCCACAAAATGGCCACAAAACAAGCCTACCATAATAGAATCTCTCTGTCTCGAAAAGGCGGAAATAATAACACCGCCCTACAACTCCTATACCAGCCCACAAAACCCCAACCTCCAAAGAACTGATTCACCAAATATGTTGGGCAAACTAACAACTCGACAAGATATGATTATTTAAAAAGAAATTGTCCCATAAATTTTTGTGGCAGTTGTCGTTTGCATGAACTAAGCCCCAAAAATGCAGCAATTTACTACCCTGCTCATCAAATTCAATATAAATATTGCAGGATAGGTAAATTGGATTGTAAACTTACCAACACTGAATTTACTTAGCAGACAAAACTGCACATAGGCAACTTAAGGCAGCAGGGATGTGAACCTTGCCTCAAAGACGAACCCTCGGTAAAGCCCATCGCTATATCCAGGCACTCCACATACCCACCGCCACTCCATCTTCCCGGAACAACGATGCCACAGCGCCATCATCCCCATCCTCTTCGCCGAAAAGCAAATCTGTTCTCCGCCACCAAAGACCTTAAACTTACTAGACCCTTGAAAGCACTGAAACATCTGGACAGGCATACGACCCGCCTCATCCCACTCCAATGTATCCAAATCCAACCTCAAAATCAGAATCGTGGAGCACAAAGCAGTCAACGAAAACGAGGATTTGAGGCCACCCACCATCAAGATTTGGTTACCCGTCCCTCGGACCAAACGGGGCCGTTTCAAAATGTCAAAAACATCCCCCCATTCGTGCCTCTCGAGCCGACCCCAATTCTGGGAGCTCTTGAGGTCGGCAATGGTGCACGCGAACAACTTCCATTGACTCCTCCACGGAGAACCCACATCGCATAGGGCGTAAACCGAGTTAGAAACCATCACAGGGCTTCGAGGTTTGGAAGGCAAATTGGAAGAAAATTTGCTCCACTGATTCGACCCAGAGAAGTAAAGAGCAGCCAATTCGGTCAACACCATGACTCTGTTAGCAGAGTCAACCAAAACGGACCCATGCCGGGACCAAGCGGAGCCGAGCTGCGGCAGGACGCGGAACTGGCGAGTCAAAGGGTTGCAGACGACGAGCGACTTGTTTGACTCGGGCGAGTCGGGCAAGTCGCCCCAAAGGTAAACGAGGCCGAGAGAGGAGGCGACGGGGTGGGGGAATCGGAAGGGAAGAAAATCAAGGGAGAATCGAAGCCACTGATTCTGATCAGGGTCATAGACGTGGAGACACGGATTAGCGGCGGCGGCAGCGAGGCGCTGGTGGGTGTGGTGGTGGTGCGGCGGCCGGAGAGCGATGAGATTGAGAGGGGGGCGGGCGGAGACGAGGTCGGTGAAGGAGGGGGAAGAGATGATTTGGTGGAAAAGCTTGCAGACGCAGCGGCAGATCATGATATCGCGGAGAGGGAGGGAGAGGAAGATCTGATGGAACGAGTCGTCGGGAAGCCGGTAGATCGGAGAGGGTTCTTCGTCTTCCATTGCCGAGACGGCGGCGGTGGAAGATGACGGCGGCGATTGAAAGAGAGAGCTTAGAGAGTGAAGAGGAGCAGCGACGTGGGTGCACTCAGAAATTTCTCTGTCAAATCATATCATATATATCAGGTTTCTGGAAAATAAAAATTAAAAAAAAAATCAATCAATCAAATAGATTCTGTAATATCTTTTAACTTTGTGATCAGAAATTTAGAAAACGTGAAGGTCGATTGTTTTGGGAATGCAGATCTGTATATATTTATTTATGAAAATATTCTAAATTTATATAATTTTTCAAAAACGTCTCACCAACATTCATATAATTTATACATTAATCTAATATAATTTATATTTATATAATAAATTTTTTTAAATTAATTTAATATTTTGGATTTGTTTATATTAATGGTATTAATTTTTGTATGTTATTGGGTAGAATTGATATTAATATAATATTTTTTTAAATAATTAATATTGAATATAAATTTCATTTTCAACTTTAATATATTTTAAAAAATACAATTATATAATTAATGTTACTTGAGATAAAATTCATTTATTATATTATCAAATTATATTATATTAAGATGAAAAATATCAAAGGTAAGCCGATCGTTAAAAAATGTATTTAAAATTATATATTTAAGATAATATATATTATTCATAATAATTCATTCCAAATATTAAAAGTAAATGGAAATATTATATAATTTAATTGAAGTTTATTTTATATGTGCATGTAATACATAAATATACTTAGTCAATGACTATATTAATTTATTTAAACTATAAAATTACAAATAAAACCAAAGAAATTTGATAAATTCATGGAAACGCATATTTTGAAGACATCCAAATGTCTTTCAAATGGACATCCTAGGATACTCGGACATCTCAAAACTGGTAAAATGTAATATATGATAAATTATATAGTATTGTAAAATAATAATTTATAATTATACAAAATTTATAATATATGTGCAAATAAATTAATTAATAATATTTTACATCACCACTAACTTATAAATATATTACTCGAACAATTTTCAGAATATAATTTTACTTTTCATTGAATCATTTATTTTCCGCTTCCAACCAAAAGCACTCTTATGTTTAGAGTGTTTCAAATTCTAAATTTGAAATTTTAAAATAGAGAATTACCTCGAAAAATAGATAAGAAATTTAATAAATATACTCTTTCATGTTATAAATTCTTTTTTTTTAAATAATAAAACATGCAAAATATAATATATGATTTTTCATGGTTTGAGTTTCGGTAAGATCATCAACTAAATACTCCATTTAATTTTCAATTTTTTACCCACATGTATCAAATTTCATCCTAAAATTTTATTTTCCTTAAATTGTATTCTAAACTTAGGTAAGTATTGCAATTGATTTCTACCCATTAATAACAAAAGGCATTATAAAATCTCCACAAATTCACTAATTTCAATACAAATTAAACTTTTATACACAAAATTGACTATTAAATATCTTTTTTTTTTTTTTTGTAAAGCTCACAAATTTCAATCAATCACCAGCTCTAATGTAATTTTTTATGAATGTATTAAATTTTGTACTAACTACATGTTTTATAATTTATCAAATGCATATGAGAATATTTTAACCATTCTTAAAATAAAAATCTAATTTAAATGTATTTGACAATACCATCTAAATTTATAGTGCAATATAGCTTTCAAAAGTTCGGAGGTAAAGTTTGATTTTTTTCCCCTACATTTTTATTTGCCTAAAGTTATAAATGATTTTTTTTCGGTCTTTAAATTTTTTTAATACTGTCATAGATCCACGAAAAACATATCTCAACGATTAAACAATTATCTCTGATTTAGAAGTCTTGTTGTACTAAAAAATACTTTTATAGTTCCTAAATTTTATTATAAAAACAAATTCAAATTTTATCATAAATTTTTCATCAGCCTCCAACCTAATCCTACGATATTCAATTTAGTTTTAAAATTTTCCTTAGTGAACTTGTATTTTACAACAGATTTGGTGCCTTGAATAAACAAAACCAATAAACTTTGTTGATATGTATTGTCTTTCTTCAAACTTTGTTTACCGTGTTCATATTTTACGAGGCTATTTAATGGGATAGTGTTCGTTCTAGCTCCTTACCATTGATAGGTCTGCTTGGCGTTTATTTTCATAGATGAGTTGTTATGTTGTGTCTCGTTTATGAGGTACGTAGTGTTCTATATGCTTTAGTTGCGTTGTTAACTTTCTTATCGTTGGTGTTCATATTACCTTCTTGGCAGGTCTCTTTGCTCCACTTGACTAAATTTTGTTCAATTGGAACACTAAACGTGATCCTGATAAGAATCTTGGTATGCCAACATCTTATTTACTCTCACGCATTTGGTGCAAAGATCGTCACGTTGACCAAGATAAGCATGTAAATTTCATCCAACCTCTCCAAAGGGTAGAATGGCAAGGTTATGCAAGAAGCCTCGTGCAACAACAACCTAGAGAAAAGAAAAGAACGAGCGCTAGTGACACATCCACTCAAAATCTAGGACACACATTACAAGAATACATTTATTAGAATATACATTTTTTTTTTAATGACGAAAACTATTTTTATACATCTCAACTATTGACATGCAAAATTATTCTAATGAACTGTAAAAGAAGTAATAAGAATATGTAATACTTCAAGATGTTGGAGAAACTAGTTACTTATTTCTAATATTAGAAAATGTTATATGTTTATGAGTATTTGACACATGCCTAGTGTTCAACATATGTCCAAAAGTTAATGAAAAAGGTAGGTATGAACTGCTCAAGATTTTTTTTTTTTTACGGAGTACTGCTTAAGGATTTATTTCTTTTATTTTAGTATGATAAATATGGGGTGGAGATTTAAACCTCCAACTTCAATGAAAACAACAGATACTTTAACTCAGGTTTGTTATCTAAACATTATTGTAAAATATATGTTCATTTTTACATCAATAAAATGAGTTTAATTTATTAATTCTCCCACTACTCTCTAGACTAGGATCTTCAAACCCTTACCAAGACATTAGAAGGCTAAAGAAAATATCTCAGACCTTTCTCTACGTCCTAAGTCATTGTAAAAAATCCTAATTGTACTTTTACTAATAATTGTTCACCAAGTTGGACACAATCAAAGTATCATCAAATTCGACAAAAGTAACGAATGAGGAAGTTATAGAAACCACCAAATCGACCCGAACACACTAACCGCAAGGCGGACTAATTGTGAATTTGTTGGAAAGGTAAACATAGAGCCCTTTTTAGTTCCAAAACCACATACAAAGTGTTTCGTGTGGAGTCCCAATTCTAAAATCAAACGACTGGAAATGGTGTCACCTAGATAGGCAAACGCCAAGGATAAGATGATGGTGTTTCTTTCAATCTGTTGGATATCTGTTTAGCCAAATTGGGGCCAAAATTCTGTTGGGATTCATGCATTTATGGTGGGATTTGACAAAGCCCTAAATATATCAATTTCTACCAATCAAATCCCACCAAGTCTGTAACCTTACCAAAGATTTAAAAAAAAAAAAAGAAAAAAAAAATTCCAATGAGATTCTAGATCAACGTTGGATACACATTGATATTGACATGCCCTTGAATGATTAAAAGCATGTTTAAATGCTATTTTTGGTCCTGTCCTTCGATTAATTTTAATCCATGTATTAATCATTTGTCTTTGTACTTTCGAGACGTATGTCTTTGTACTTTCGAAACTTATTGTTTCCATCCTATACTTTTAAAAAGTGACCAATCTGATCTCGTTTTACAAAATTTTAACACATTTTGTACAAAACAAACATTATGATTACATTTCAAAAAATCTAGTATGTGAAGTATTATACTAAATTATGATCTAAAACATGAGACAAAAATGAAAATGATAGGACCGAAATGGTTACTTCTTAAAAGTAGAAAGACCAAAATAGATGTTTGAAAAGTACCAGGACTGAAATGAAGCACAAAAAGTACCAAAATAAACATTTTGAAAGCAATAAGACTAACCAAAGTCGAAAGCATAACAACCAAAATAGTATTTAGACCTAAAATTTAATACTATTTGATGAAAATTTCAAAATAATTAAAAGGGTCTGAGAATTTCTACGGAACCGATAAAAAAAGAAAAAGAAAACATTTAAAAGTGCTTTTGGTTCCAAATGTAACAAGTGATTCACTCAACATCTTCTTCAAGAGGTATCCAGTCCCATCCTTCCAAAGAAGATTGAGAATAAGTCTGAAATTCATAATTACTCAGTTCAGAATCAAAACCCAAATGTTCAAATCCATCATATGGCTAAACATACATTAAATAAGAGGAATACACAATAGCATTTAGATAATAATATGTCAAAGAGCAGAGGTCTACATTCCACAGGATCAGAAGATGTGGTAACAATTCTCTTTATTTTCATTTTTCACTGGATGACCTGGCAGGTAGTTCTTTTCTTCTTACCTCTGGACCAAATACTACAAGTAAAAGCCAACATCATGAATTTGCTTACCTGATTCAAGTTGTTTGCTTCATTTACCTCAGAAAAAGGTTCCCCATTGGACAAGTTGCAAACAAGAAGGCCTTGCAATTCTCATCAGATCCTTCTCCTGATAATATCAAAATTCATCAGTGAAGGACTAGAGTTTTTTAACTTTTCATTGAGAACAAATTAAAGAATACAAGAGGAAAGCCCAGGCCAAAAAACACCCAAAACAAAAGGAAGAGCAAATTACAAAACTGGACTCTAATGGATAATCACTTAAGGAAGCCCAAAGGGAGGTATTGAATTTTAGGCAAGTCACAAACCTCCACAGCTCCACTCAAGACCTTTTACTTATCGCTAAACACTCTTATTTCTCTCAAGTTAAATGTTCTACAAAATTGTGAGAAAAAAAAACTGTCACAGAAATGCCCCTTTTATCACTAAAGATTAGAGTAATTGAGAACGAGATTCTTGAACAATCAGTGTAAAGACTAGTCCTGTAGAAATTGAACCCCTAAAATTTATAAATTCAATGGCAATAAGCACATCACCAAACCCAAGGCACTACATGTATGGACATACTGATAGAACCTTAACCAATATCCATTTCCTTCTTGTTCTAGAGAATGTCTCAACCTTTTCGATCATTTTTGAAAATTATGCTGGTTGGTTCATAATTTATTTGGTATATTTTCACCTTTCTTAAAACCACATCTTAAAACCACATTTGTTCTCTCAGCCAAACTTTTTTTAAAACACAAGTTTTTGAAAACTACTTTTGGCTTAGATTTTGAATACCATTACAGAAAGCAAATGCAAAACAAAGAAATACAATAGTGAAAGTAGTGTTTACAAGTTTAAGTTATAAAAACAAAAATAAAAAAATAGAACCATTATGAAACGGAGCCTTAGTCTTAGTTTTTATGGGTACAAAACCTAAAATGCATGATATAGTGGGAAAAACTAAAAACAATTATAAACCAAGGCATCATTTCAGCTGATTAAAGTTCAGGTGTTTCCAGGATACTTATTTCATTAAAGGAGAATGGTGAAAATCAGCAAAAGAATTGACCAAAGCATAATCTCCAAACGTTAGCTCAATAGTAAAAAAGACAAGTTGTAAACTCAATCATGGTAGCCATCTATATTTTAGCCTACAAATTTTCATGTGATTATTTCACGAGATTAGCCAAGTTACATGCAAATTGATTGACCTAGACACTAGGAAAACAAAAGAAAAAGATTAAGCGAGAAAAAAAATAAAGCCTCTGGTTGATAACGTGAGGATATTTAAAGTTGAACTGTAACAGAAGAAAGATGAGATAACACCTTCCTATCATCTCTTTCGCTTCAGTGACTTGATACTCTTAACAATATAGCTGATGACCTCCTTCAAAGTAGCTTTCCTTTTTTCCTTATAGTTCCATAATTCAGGTACGGAATAACGGCCACTCGGATTATATTCATTCAATTCTTTAAGAGCAGTAATTACTGCATTGTATATCTCATCACCCCATTCCTGCTTGAGACCTTTCAGTTTCTCATCGTCTTCATCAATGTTTTCCTGCATCATGCAACATATAGTTCATAATATAACTTTCGACCAGTCAATCCCGCATATTAGATGAAAATACTACTTTAACTAAACAGCCATATGCATAAGCACAACCATTATTGAAAGTTTGAAACAGTTACCAGCATATAGTTTCTACCAAGACCAACCAAACAGCAGAAGACATTTCATACAATGAAGAAGCAATACAGAAATAACTTATTTTCATAATCAAATAAGACAAGATTAATAAGAGATTCCTTGCTTTGCTTCAAAGAACCTTTTGTTCTAGGAAAGAAGTAGAAGACTTTGAGAGGCCTTGGACGCTTCTAGGAACTTCCTTTTTGAAATTCTAATTAGAGTTGCCCAAGGACTTCTGTAATTATTTAGTCTTCCACAGGTTCCGTTTGATAACCATTTTGTTTCTGGCTTTCTGGGTTTGAAAATTAAGCTCATTTGTTTTTCAAGAAGCAAACTTTTCATTGATAGATGAAAATAAAGAAAAATGTTCAAGGATACAAACCCCAAAAGAGAGCGAAAAAAAAAAAAAGAAGACTAAACAGCCAAATAAAGAACAAATTTCCAAAAAATTACAAGAAAATACAACATTAAAGAACAAAACGCCTCATATCTTAACAAAACGACGAGCTGAAACAACCAAAAACCACTTCCTTCAATTTGCAAAAGCTACACCAATATATTGAATAGGAGAAAAGCAGATCCAGAAGCCTTTGATGAGAGCAGTGCCCATAATCCAGTATCCAATGTTACTAGTAGACCCCTATGAATTGCCACCATAGGAAGAACCCAATGTGCATATTCGAGGAACCAAAAACTCAACGTGCCGAGGGGATAACCTTTAGTTTTTGGATAAAAGGTCCATACGGCATCCAAGTGTCCCAAACTTTAAACATTAGACGACTCAAAAAGAGAGTTTGATCAGAAGGAGCGAAAATTAAGCTTGTAAACACTGCTTTCACCTATGTATGTGACCTATGTATTTCTTTGTTATGCATCTCATTTTTTAAAACATTTTCAAAATCTCTAAACTTTGAAAACTAAAAAAATAGTTTCCAAAAACTTGTTTTTGTTTTTGAAATTTGGCTAAGAGTTCAAATGTGTTTCTTATAAGAAAGGTTAAAACATACAAAAGAAATTTGGAGCGAAAACACAATTTTAGAACATAAAATTAAAAACAAAATGGTTACCAAAAGAAGCCTTAGTTTAACCGATGGGAGAACATTAATTCGGTCTCTTTTGGTCTTCACTTAGATGGATTCTCATCTAAACTCTTTAGCATTATTTTCTTACATTTTTTTATATAAAAAACTGAGCTTGAGAGAAATGGAAAAAATATACACGGTCATACAAAAGGGCAAATAAAAAGACCGCTCGAAGAGAGGAGGCTCCTAGAGAAAGGGGCTCAAATCCAAAAAAATAACACCTAATTAATAATTACAAAAAGCCTTAGAAACTGACTCCCACAAGGCAGTATTAAATCTAATAAAATCCGAAACACACTCCCTAAATCTCCCCATCCCTAAATATTCTGTTATTTCTATCAAGTCAAATGCCCCACAAAGTAGCTACAAAATTATGTTATTTTCTTACCTTCTTAATTTTATTTTAGTATTCTTCAACAGTTAATGGAAGGGTTAGTGTATTATTTTTCTATTATTATTATAATTATTTTAAAAAAATTAAAAGACATGCTTAGTTACCTGGGAATCCCCATCAATGGTAACAACTTTAAATGGATGCCAATTAGGATCCGTCAAATTATCCTGCCATAAGGAGCATAAAGTGGAGGCTTGTATCATTGCTTCATCAGGAGAAAATCTCTGTTTGCAGGTAATCTGGAACGGTTTTGTATCAATATCTCCCATTCTCTTTATTCCGATATTAGGCTGATTAACACTTTTTGACGATTGATCTAATAATCCCTGCACGGAAAAATCATTGGTTGATGAGCAGAGAGTGCACGCCATCAATAATTGCATGCCCAGTATCCTTCTACTAGGAATAAGTTGATGCACCAAGAGAGACTCATCATTTGCAGTCAACACCATCCATGTGGTATTTCTTTAATTTTATACCAACAAAGGTTAAAAGCGTAAAGAAATTTCCTAGCAAAGTGAACCAAATACAAAGCATTGAACATGTTCAGTACTCAAGAAACATCAAAAAGTTTTCCAAAGTTTTCCAACATCAATTACCATCTCTCTCTCATTCTAAATGAAGGAATACAGGAAAGGGAAAAAAAAAAGAAAAAGAAAAAAGCTGGATATAATCATAGAAAATACCCAAGGACCAAAGGAAGTTAAAAACAACACTCTAATTTACCAAAATGAGGGAAGTACAATAATTACAGAAATCCTTGAAAAAATAGAACCAAGCACAAAATTTGAAAACAATGGTATCCTAAGACTCTTCCTACTATTTCATTATATCTGGAAAAACTTCTATGCCTATCGAGCCACTCTCTCACAAATATCAAAAAGGGAGCTGTCAACAGCCATCTTAAAATATACATTATAACCAAAAGGTCTTAGAAAGTTGAGTTAACAATCGTAAGTATTAAGCATATCTGCTGCTTCTGATCACACTAGAGAAGAGAGATACATATACATCCCAAATAGAGAAAAATATTTGAGACATTGAATAGCTAATAGCATAAAAAATGCATTGAATGCACAATATCAAAAACAAAAATCTCTTCTATTTTGAACGGCAATAAAGTTAAAAAAAAAATATTAAATCTTTGGAATTAGTGATGAAATATTTGCAGTGTCTTTCTCCCAAAGCTAGCTCATTCATCTTTAAATAACTTGTTCATGAAGACTTTATATGGTTTAGGATGCACAAATTAAAGAAGAGAAAAGAACATTACATTTATTAATTCTTTACGGGCCTCTTGCAACTCATCATTGCTCTCGCGCTCCTTGGCAACAAGAGTTCGATACAACTCGTGCAAACCACTCAAATCGTCCTCCTTTTCATTTAAATCATCCTGCATTTCTTTCATCTTGTTTTGCACTCCAACATCATCTTGATCCTCGAGATGCTTCATAACCTGTAGTTTCCCTTTCAATTCTTGAATTTCCATTTCCAGTTTCTGCTTGGCATCCAGTTGCTTTTCCAGCTGCAGAATCTTGCTCAAAGCGTCTTCTTTCTCTATCTAGATGAAGAAAAGGTATTGAATTATTGCTTCTTAATGCGAAATAAAGCACAAATTAATAATAACATATATTGTTAGTATACAACAAACTACAAAAGCATTCAAATCACTAACAAACAAATTGTGAGGAGCAAACCTTCTGTTCTTCAACAAGGCGTAAAACATTTTCATCAGCCCTTCTCTGTTCCAAAGAAGCTAAATGGAGCGAATTGTTCCTCACATCATTCTAGGACAAGAAATAATGAAAAATAATTGTAAGGCACAATATCTTTAATCGTAAAACATACATAAGTTTAAGCTCTCAGCCTTATGATAACTAGATCCCACATCTTAAATGTGACAGAACATGTATGAAATATATAATAAAGAGATAGAGTAAAGGCAGCAACCAGGACAACAAAGACATAGAAACAGCAGGCAAATAAATTATTTCTTAATTTTTTTTAACTTACAAACCAAGGATGCCTCATATCACACCTTTTTCTTCTCTTCATCAAGTTTCTGTCTCTCAAGTTCAGTCAATGCTTCACGTTTGTTCAATTGCATACTCCAGGAATCAAGTTTTTTTTTCTTAGTCTCCAATTCTTGGTGCAATTTTTCTTGTTCTTCCAATATTCTTCGAACATTATCTCGTGAAAGTCTCTGGGCCTTTCTGGTTTCTGAGAAGAATAAGACAATTCATAAACCTTTTTTTTTTAGGGATAAGAAACCTTTTATAGAATTCATAAACATTGAATAGCACATTATCTATAATTATGCAACAAAAGTATACACTCAGCGACCTCTTTATATATTTCCAAGCCATTAGGAGACCCTTTTCCAGTTTCAATTAACTACTAGTGGGGAGTTTATCTTTTCTAATCCCGCTCCTTTTTGGGAAACATATTTGTCAAATATAGCATTATTTCCAACAAAAAAGGAGAGCAGAAATGTTATTAGAAAAATCAATAATGACTTGTATTGTCGAATGTGGTATAACAGGTTCATGTTCCTGTTTTCAACGACAGTGATGGTGTTTGGTTCAATAGGCAAGGATTATACAGAAATGATTTATCAAATTTCTTTTGTTACATGAAGATCACAGCCACACTAGGTACACAAGAACAGACTACTGATGGGAAGCAATGGGACAATCAAATATATAAACTTCCTATAAGAGAGTCACAGACCAATCAAGCAATTTGGATAGACCGACAAAGTGTGATTAAGGAACTATCTGAAAGCAATACTAAACACCATTTTTTAATTAAAAAAAGAAAGAAAAAAATCAATCTGAAGAAACAAAATCTTACTGTTTTCAAGTGTTTGCATTTTTGTTTTCTAAAATAAAGAACATGCATTATGATTGATACTTTTTCAACATAAATTTACTTGCATTTGTTATATGTCTAAAATAATTAAAAAAAAATAGAACAAAAAAGAAAAGAACACAAAAAAAGGACAAAAACCTATGTTTAAAGACAGTTCTCAAAAAGTATTCTGAAACATGCTCAAACAAATTTGAAGTATCCATAGTTTTAGATGTAAAATTCAACACTGCAAGTATACAATATATCACACAACTGTAAAGCAAAATATGAACTAGAAGTTATGAAAACAGAATATTTCTTCATATTTTCACTTACGTATTTTGACTATTAATATTTGATACATAGTAGTACATCCAAAAGCAAAATATAGCCTAGAAAATAAGCAAACCAAACATCCGGGCATATATTCTATCACACAAAAACAAAAAAGAACAACCTTCAAGAAAAGCATGGTGAAGCTGGTCTTTCTCTTCAAGCATCCTACTTAAAGACATTGTCTTTTCATTGTACTTGTATCGTAGTTCATCCAGATTTTCATTTGTCAAATCAATTTCATGTGTCAGATTCTCCACGACAGTATTCCTACTTTGAGTTGATTCATTCACAATGTCTGAAACTGTTCTCAATTTCCCTCTTTGTCGAAGAAACTCTCCTATTGGCTCATTTGAAGAATAATCATTAGCCCGTGCACACCAACCATAAATATCCGGGTCAGGATGTGTTTTAGTTTCCCAATCCTTTTTACTATGATGGTTGGTCTCAAACAATTTCTCAAAGTCTGTTGCTGTCACAAAGCCATTCCAATCGCTATTGAACTCAACAATAGCCTGAGCTGTAGGATCCTTATCATTCCAAAAAATGTAAACATCTAAGGGTCTATACTTAGAAAACTTTTTCAGCCAATATGCCGAGTCACAGACCAACTTTCTGTCCTCGTCCACCAATATGTTTACAATGACTCCCATCCAAGGCCACACATAAAGCTCTTTCTCTGGATCTTTACTGACAGGAGATGGTGATGGAGTAGCTGGACGTTGCACTGGATCTGCTGCACTAACTAAATCATTCTCTAAATATCTGGCTAAAGCAAGGTGATTCGCCTTCTGTTTAGCATTCCTGTTGGCCGAACCTTTACTCACTCCAGATGCATGTTGGAGCAAGTCTTTATACTTATAGTCCTGTTTCTTTTTCCCCATACAGAATGGGCATCTAAGGATGCCATTTGAAGTCCTTACAACAAGCTTTCCAGTCCTTAACTGTTCATATGGTTTCTCCGCATGGTCATTGATCTCTGAGTCACTAAAATCCGACTCTTCTTCACTGCTCTGGTCCATCTAAACAAGTAAAATTATTTCAAAAACAGTTAAACAAGAACCGCAAATCGATACATCGTCAACTCTGAGCATATGAAGAAGCAAGATGTCATGAAACACCCATATAAATGTCACTCACATATACAACAAAAACTTATTAAAGCATGGCAAAACAAGGAAAACGGCCAGAATTCAAACTTACAACTTGTAGCAAGCAAGAGAGACCAAATAATCACAGACCCATCACTTGTTTAACCAGCAAAATTTTGAAGTCAAAACCCTCGCAGCTTGTTTAGAGACTGAAATAGCAGGACTCTTCGGCAGGTTGATTTATGGTTTTACAGTACAATGTCAATTAAGGGAGGGGAAAAGACTCAATAAACATCTGGACTAAGCTGAAACAGCTAAATACCTCAGATCGCCTCGAAAATAAGTTCAAAAATTAAGCAAATTCTCATAATGCATGAACAATCCCTAAACTGGGTGTGAAGTAAACAATGTTAAATAAGGAAAAAATACTGAATGGATTCCGAAGGAGTACTTACTTTGGTGTTGATTACAATTTCACGAGAGACTTTGCTAGTGTTGTTTCTTCTTGGGAGTGGTACCAGAGAGAGAATGGGGGGGAAGACGAGCGAAATGTCACGAGCTTAGCTCACTCTAGTTTGACGAGCGGAATAATAATGATTTTAGAAAATAAACTAAATATATAATTTAATTTCGTCTTTCTTTTATTCCTATGTATATTTATTTATTTATTGTTGGATAAATATATTAGACTATATCGAGATTCAAATTACATAAATGGACTCATGTTTAAAATTTTACACTTTTATCTTAAAATTAGCCTATGAAACCTTTAGAACTTTACAAACTTGTCCTCAACACAAAAAGTCAAAAAATTAAATTTGACCCATGGACATCTTGACAGGTTTAAATCAAATATCTAGAATATTTTAAATCTCTTAATTATAGGAAACCATTTTTCCTATTACATTATCTCTTTTTGAAACCCTAGGAACCACATTCTCTTAATCTCTTTCTCTCCTCATAGCTATTATCATCAACATTTTCACTACCTTCTTCTTCTCACTCTAAATCTCTCCCTCTCAAACTCACCAACGAGATCCAAATCGATGACTTGAGGGCAGTGAGCAGCAGCAGCACGATACCCACCCAAGTGATCAGTCCATCACGAACTCTAGTGTCCACGAGATCCAGCAGCGGCCACGAACTCCATGATTAGATTTGCGACGATCTGTAGCTGTAAGGACACAAAGGTGACAACCTGTTGAACGATATTGTGCCCCTATTGTGTAAGTGTACACATTTGTTGTAACAAGTAATAAAAAGTTCGAATCCACAAGGAATGCTCACTAAACACTTTGTGGCTCAAGAAAGCTAAAACATAAATGCAAGATGTAGGGTAGCAAAGACACACGGGTAACAAAGAAAATATAAGTCGCAATGCACAGTGAATACTATAAACCAGCACCTAAATTGGATTTAAGTAGATTTTTAACAGAAATAGTGAACAATGAAGGGAAAAGTAGGATGCGACTTTTTCTGGACTGCTCTAACAATGCTATAGCATTGACAATGTGAATACTGGTCAAACACACATGGAGCCTTCCTATTACACAGCATTTAGAAACAATTTATAGTTATGCTAGGTGAGCCCTATTCCTAAGTATTCACCCTCTAACGCAAGCAGATTCTAGCATAAATTGAAGTTTATCACTCCCTATTACACTTTTCCAAGAGTTAACAAGGAGATATTCCAACAATGGTGATCAAGCATGCTGAAAATAACTTTAAACACAACTTCAACTAAATACTCATTCATCATTAATGCTAAAAGCACAGTATACAGCCCAAGAGAAAAGTTTACAACTTTCCCCTTACAAGCAGACCTAGCTACGCATAGTCATAGTGAGAAACAAAAAAACAACGAGGAGAACTACAATGGGAAATAGATACAAGAGTGAAAAGAATGAGCTAAAGGTTCAGCTCCTTGCGGGCCTCTCTCTCTCTTTTCTGCTTCAGCAACTGCTTCAGGATTCCACCTTTCTTCTTGCCTTTTTCGAACTGAATTTGGTATGTTTTCTTGAAGTGAGGGTTGATTGATTTGAAAAAGTGTGTGGAGGCTTCCTTTAATGTTGACTTTTATACCCATTTCTTTTTAGGGCAACAAACAACATTCGTGGGTCCCTATCTCTCACTTCCAGGTCATTTCTTCATTTACTGTGGTAACTCCCAAATTAAAGCTCTGTTACTACTGTCACTGTCAGCCTGCTGCTTTTTGTTTTTTTTTTTTTTTTGATTCCAATGTTGTAGCATAGTTGATGCTGCAACAAAGTGTCCAAAATTAGAACTTTTAACAAAATTCGCAAGGCTAAGAAGAAATGAGGCATTCTAGCATTTTAGACAACACTTAGTGTAGATTGGGTGCAAATGAGGCTATTTTAGGCTAATCTGTGTGAATTTCTCGCCCAAATAACTCTCTTTTGGGGACTTATCACAACCCACGAACAACGACCTACTGCCCAACGACGATCGACTAACACCTACGACGCCTGGATTCGAGAGTGAATGACAAGCTCCTCTTCTGGGCGGTGGGACACCACGAGCGGTTGCACAAGTGCTTCTTCGACGAGGCCAGACTCGAGACACCATACCTCCTGCGAGCTAGACCCATGACCCTAGTCAAGGAGCACTTGTGCTTGCAACCCTAGTTTTTTTTTCTAAGAGAACCGAGAAACTATATGTTAGGTATGTTTTTAGGTATATATAGTATATGTTGGTATATGTTTCTTTTAATTAAATCATGTATATATAGCATAGGTTGGGTATCTTATGGAGTATATGTTAGTATATGTAACATGTTGGGGTATATTATTATCATACTATAAGTTTGATAAAAAAAAAAAACTATATATTATTATAACCTACTGATTAATATATAACAATGAAAAATATATATTATATAACCTTTTGAAAGAGTATACATTTATATAACCTTTTAGACTTGATGTCCCCCTCAATCTCAACCAACCATCATAATCATAATCGAAATCGCAAAAAATACTGTGAAAATTTTACTACTAAATATGTTGATGATTAAACTTACATCCCACATTTTGTTTTGCCGCAATGCATATTTCTTTATTTCAATTAAAAAAAAATGTCATGGTCATGGTAGTCCCCCTCCCTACTCTTTGCCCTTGAAAAAAATCACGCCACAAATTTCGTCTGTCTCCCTCTTTGTGCCCTATGAGATCTAATTTCAAAAAACTCAGGCTAAAATTCTAGCATGATTCTGGTTGGGATTTAAAAAAAAAATAAAAAAAAAAAAAAAAAAGGTTTGGGATCGAAGCCTATATTCTGGCCGAGATTCCAATCAAGATTAAGAAACTGTCGATTTTTTATGCATGCAATTGCATAAAAGACCGAGATTTATGCAATTTGCCATCTTGTTTGAAATTGTATAATCTTGGGCATAATCCTGTCTTCAGATTATGTAATCAGTCTCGGGCAAGATTATGCCATCTCGATTGAAATTGAGATTATGCACTCTCAATTGGATTTGAAATTGCGTAGAAATCCTGTGAATTCATAAATCTCGTAAAAAGTCCAAACTCAACGGATTGTAGGCAGGACCTTTTGGATTGACACATTAAAAAAGTATTGTAACAAAATTTTTTGATAATGTATTTTGAACAAATTTTTGTTAAATCCTCCTTTCTCACCGCAAAATTTGCATTCATTTTCTTTGCTGAGGTACTTTCGCTCTCCTTTTATTCTCGCTGACTCCATGGATTAGGCCTTCAAAAGTGTTTCTTGATTTTTTCCTCCCCTCGCCTGAACAATAAATCTCGGCTGAAATTTGTGGAGAAAAAAGTGGCAGGGTGGTTATGATTTTCATTTGCGATTTCTTCTTTTTGAGTTCATTCTAAGAGCTTTGGAATTTTTTTTCTTTTTGACTTCATTTTGAGAGTTTGTTGATCGATTCATCTTCTGCAAAGTTTTTTTAATTGTTGGGCAATTTAGGATCAAGATTTTACACACAACTTTGAACTTTGGAAAATTTGAAAAAAGAAGCGTTTCCCACGTGTTGATGATGTCAACTTTTGGTAAAACTATGTATTTACCTTTCTCCACTTTTCCTCTTTCCTTTTTCACTTTTCTTTCTTTTCCATTATTAGTCAACTTTTCTTTCTATCTTTCTTCCACGTGCCTCCGAGAGACGGGAGAGGGAGAAGGGAGAGAATTGAATTTCTAATTTAATTTAATTACTTAAAAATCTATTTATAGAATGAATAATTATTAAATAAATTTCATAAAATATTGAATTAGTTATTAATCTAAATAATTATTAATAAAATTTGGTTAATTTACCTAATGATTAACAAATAATTTAAGAGATTAAAGATTTTTTAATTAAAAATTTGAAAATTAGAATTAAGGAAAATAGAATCTCAACCTCCTTAATTTTTAGTGTATTCGTATTCAAATTTGAAATTTTTTATTCCTTAAAATCTCTTCTTTAGTCTCCTACATTAATAAAACTCTAGAAAACATCTTCGCACAATCTTCAAAAGGAAAAAGGAAAACATSAGCAGTTACATAAAACCCAACTGAAAAAAAAAGATGGAAGATTCGAAAAAGTTGTTCTTTTTTTGTAAAATTGAGAAGAAGATGGAAGTTAAATGCCTAGAAACTTATGTTTTGAAAATGGTGATTAAAAAACTAAAAATGCACGTGGAAAAGGCTTCTTTTTCCAAATTTTCCCATAACTTTCGCCCAAATTATTTCTTAAATTCTAAGGATATTTTCGTAAATACACTTTCACCAAAAGTTAAAAAGGATTAGAAAAAACTTAAAATTTTAAAATGGGTCAAAATCCAATCCGGAAAACTTGGAGGGTCAAAAATGACAATTCCCCTCAATCTACGTGTGGCTCAAGATCAATGTTTGACGGCGGAAAATTTTCCTTTCCTATAAAAAATTTCCATTGAAAGTGAAAAATCTCTCTTTCCCCTCGATCCAAGTAGGATTACGAACTATCAAAATTTTTATTACTATTCATTAATTACATTCTCTCTCCTATTTTGTTAAAAAATTTAGACTTTTAAGGTGAGACGTTTTATCTATCATTTTTTTTTCACTTTTTCACATTCTATCATTTTTACTTGAAACTTTTTACAAAATCTTCACTTTCCTCTCTATTTGATGAGCCTTGATTAAAGGCTAAAAAGTATTATGTTGTGATGTCATGCTTATTTGAGGTCTATTGAAGTCAAGAATCATAGGTTCATGCATATAAATTAGTGAAAATGACACATATTTTGTGTTAAAGACTTGAGCATTTAGACTTAGGAAAATACATGTTAAATGATGCCATTATAGTTACTTTGAATGGAAAATCAAGTCGGTTGATCAAAATGCGTCCGCTGCACTATCCTCCCAAAGTTCCAGGTTATTAGTAAAAATGCGTCGGCCACATTTTGTCGGACAAAACGTGTGTTTCAACTCATTTTGGCCGAGCATTTGGTCCAAGATTTTGTCTAAGATCCCAAAGATCTCTTCAACAAATTGAAACCTTCAAGCTTATAAATATAAGCTTCCAAGAGACATCTCAACACACTTCCAGCTTTTGTTATTTCTTTCTAAGTTTTTGTCAATTTTAGTTTTCGTTTCCAGCATTGAAACTTTGTTTAGTTCATTTTTTTTGTAATTGTTCATTGTTTCTTTTAATGCAATTTGATTGGTTCTAATTTTGTACTCATTTTCCAAGTTTAATGAAAATGAATTCTTTTATAATTTGCTCTTATGATTTTGTTTTTTTCCATGTGTTCACACGAGATTTCTAGATAAATTATATTTGGGGTTCGTACAATCTCTAATATTTATCGTCTGATTCTTGCAGAATGACAGATCTTGATCCTATGCAGGATGAAGGATTTTGATCATTTGCACGATGAATTAGATGGTGAATGAACCCTCTATTTGTATGATCTTTCATGGGCCTTAGGTAGACTTGGACCCATTTGATTCCAAGTCCATTGCCACGTGGCACAATCCAATTGGGTAAGCTTATGTCATCAAACAGGCGTGGCAAATTTTGATTGGACCAATTTACGGCATACGTGGCGCAATATTATTAGACCAACTTATGTCATCATATGGTCATAACATAATTTGATTGGTCGAATTCAAATGCCCAAAAATAACATGTGGCATGATTTAATTGACCACTTTTTTTAATATATTTATATTTAAAGACACTTTCAAATTTTAATTGGCCTCAATTTAATGACATATAATTTTTGTCATTATTACGTGGCAATTTGTGATTTGCCGAAATTTATCAATCAACACCATGAGTAGGTAAATTATCCTTTCAACCCATCTAGTTTCATATCTTTTTAAATTACATTTATCAGTAAGCACGATGATTTCGCTCCTATTG